AAAAAAAAAAAAAAAAAAAAAATTTTTTTTTTCATTACGTACAAAAAGAAATAATAGAAGATTTTTGATGAAAAAAACATTTCATCATATACATTGTAGATCATTACCATAAATATAATCAATAAAATGAAAGTAAATATTTTTCTAAATAAAGAAAATAAAGAATAGTAAATACTGATTCTTTATTATTCTATCTTGTTTTAAAACTTGTTATTCCAATGGTGTGATGATTTTTTTTTAATATATATTATTTTGCCGCTTTATTATCCGAAATGTCATTTCTGCACTTCTGCACAAAAAAAAATAAAGTTTTTTTTTTGTGTTGCAAAAATGATTTGATAATCGATATGTGTGTAATGTCACGGATATGTGTAATGTGTGCACATGATTTATAAATAGTCATAAAACTTTTTTTTTTATTTTCTTTATTTATCTATTTAAATGTATTTTTATAAAGAGATAACGATTGAAAAAACTTTTTCTATTCTGTAAATGTTATCGGATTAATATTTTTTTTATTATTATAAATTTTTCCATTTGTAAATGTTACCGGATTAATAATAATTATTATTAATAATAATAATATTATTATTATTCTTTTTTCTTTTTTCTTTTTCTAAATTATGAAATCAAAGTGTTACGATACAGAAAAATTAGCGGAATTACGGTAAAACCTAATTTTTGTAAAACATATTTCTTAAAGTACTTTACCCAGTTGCCGAATTTCCGAAAATATTTTTTATTCATTGATACAACTTTTAAAGGGAACTTAGAATTGAGTTAGGCGTATAGATAACAGTGGCATAGAAAAACTACAATAAGGCTTAGTAAATGATAACAATCAAAAAGCCACTTTTTTACTTATCTGTTGGGCTGTAAACCTGTAATTCTTGTAAGTAAAAAAAATTAAATGACTATAAATATCAGAAAGTTAACATTCACTTAATTAATCCATTTTCAATCCAAAAAAAATATTGAAAAGAAGGCAAGAAAGATTTTGTCATAAATAATTTAGTTTCATATGTACATATTTATTTTAAAGTCAGTCAAAAATGTCGTTTCATATATTAGTTAATTATTTATTTTATTTATGATATTTTTTGAGTTAATTTTTAATTATTTTTTTGTTATTTTTAAAAATAAATTCTATAATGGGATGTGGTTCCTGACACAACCTTGTAATATATCATAATTATAACTCAGCCGAGCCAACAAACATTTGAAGGGGGGAAAGTAAGTACGGAAAAATATAAATTCGATGATTTTTTTTCACTAAAATAGTACATTACAATTTGGTCATACTCTATTGATAAATTACCGTGGCAAAATTTTCTTTTCGGTAATAATAAACCTTATATTCATATGAAACCAATCATAGTAAATGGGGTGGGGTGAACGGTTCGGTTCCTTTTTGGTTCCTTTTACTATACAACTTCTCGAGTATGGAAGTATGGAACGGGATCTGTAATTAGAAAGTCGGGTACGCCAATTACGTTTCAAACCTGTTCACAACAGATCTTGATTTTGAGTGGCCAAAGTTAAAGTTTTTAACAAAGACCAAATTTTTATCTCCCTCCTTTTTTTAGCTAATTTAATCTGATCATCTAGTCTGAGTGGTGTCTCGGTTTCAATTTAGAATTGAAGATCTAATACGTTGTAGTAAGAAGTAAGACCATACAATATGATAAACAACCCCGTTACTGTTACTTCACATTCTATACCCCGATTAATCATACTGAAATCTATTTAAGGTAAAGTATGTATACAACGACAACGACTCAACGAGAGAAACAAATGGACAAAGATATAAAGTTTTAAATAACAAAAAGACAGTAATAAATTATCGAGATCAATCGCATTGATACAATATGTGTTTTATATATTAACTTTTAAAATTTTTTTTATTTGATTTGCTTTATTACAAAGGAAGAAAAAAAAAAAAACTTTCGACAACCCGTAAAGTTATCCCCAAAAAAAAATACTTTAAACTACAATTACATTTACATTTATAATTATAACTACTTTTAAAATAAAAAAATATATATATATTACATTGTCCTTTTTATTAAGAAAAAAAATAAAGATATCATTTAAATGAATCCATATTGTTTATCATTATTTTTTTCCTTTGATAAAATACTTTCAATATCACTAGCTCTAACAATTTTTTTATTATCTGCTAAATTGTTATCACTATTATCCGGAGTAATTTTACCAGTAAAAGCAAATGATTGATGACGAATTGAGGGTGGTGTTAACGATTCATTACTTTTTCTTACGTAATTGTTAGAAGTAGTAGATTTTTCTTTCATGTTTTCCTCTTCTTGATCAGATTGAATTTGGATAGCAGGAAATAGGTAAATTTCATTGTCATTATCATAGCTATATGTAAAATAATATATATCATTTGGATCAACTAAAATAGGTTGAGATTGTTGTTTACTTTTTCTTATCCCTTGACTTAATCTTGATTGACTACTCATTCTTTCCTTGTTATTAAAACCATTCATATTTAAATTACTTAATCTACTAATTTTGTTTATTCCAAAGTTATTGATTTGTTCAGAATCTCGTGGTGCTAAATTGTTGCTACTACTACGATTTATAGGATATGTAGATGTAACAGGTGAAGCGCAACGTGATAACGTGAGACTGTTAAAGTATTCTAGCAAAGCACCGCCAAAATCTTGTGTAGTTCTTCGTTTACCATTTAGTTTATCAAGAGAACTTAAAAGCATTTTTTCATCATATTCTACATAAGAATATCTAACTTCTTCCTCTTCATAAATATCGGAATTGGTATTCTTGTGTACTATTACTGGAGGAAGTGATGGTGGCATGGAATTTACTTTTGTTGATGATGTAAATGATGAATATGTTGGTGAAGGTATTCTAATCAAAATTTCATCTTGTTGATTATAATCTTGTTGGTCATTTATTTGAAGATTTAATTGTTGTGGGTAACTTTGTCTTTGCTGTTGATTTTGTAATTGTTCTTGTTGTTGGTTTTGTACTTGTCGTTGTTGTGAATGACCTTGACCTTGAAGATAAAATTGATCAATGAACGATCCAGGTGATGGTTGATTTTTATATTCTTGCAATCTATCTACACCCTTTTCGTTGATGAAAGAAAATGAACGGAAAGAGTCACCAACTCCATTATTAACAACAACATCATCATTATTAATAAATAATTTAATATTAACCAATAATTTTTGTGTACAGATTGATGTTAATACTAATAATGGTGTTGTATTTATATATTTTCTCAAATAATTTTTTCCGTCAATAATAAATATAATATTAATGGCTTGTGAAAATGCTATTAATGAGAAATACATGAAACCCTATTAATCACGCGTTGAAGCGCAGTAACAAAAAAAAAGAGAGAGAAGGTCCACGTTACGTTAGTTAATGTTTTTTTTTTAAAAAAAAAAAAAAAATTTAAAATGTGAATGAGGTAATACTAACATCGTCAAATAAAATTCTACGCCAGTATCTTCTTTTACTATAATAATGTAAATTTTTTGTAGAATGTAATGAATAACCAACAAAAATCCAAATAATCCAACAATAAATCATCAACATTATAAACCCAATTGAAAAAAATCCTGAAAATAGTTTTATTTTATTATTTCCTTCCAATGCACTCATAAGGTAACAATTTCCATCCAATTTATTATTAACATCAACTGCACCAATTCCTAATACATTCATCATTTGAAATATTACGGTCAATATTGCCAATAAAAATAATGAAATCGCAAGGTAGGGTCTTTTTGGATAAAATATCCTAAATCTAATTAATAGTATAAAACAGTGAAATGTTGTACATACGGCGAAAAAACCTTGTTGCAATAATATTAATATAGTACATGATAATTGTGTATGTGATGTATAATGTAAAAACATCAATGTTATTACACAATATATTATCGTCGTAAATCTAAAAAAGAAGTTAAAATACAATTAGTTTTATTATAAAAATATTGGTTGCATTATATACTTTTCTTAAAAGTTAACAATTACTTACTTTTCAAGAAAGAAGCAGACAATTTCGGGAACACTCCATAATTTAGTTTTATACCATTTTATATCTTTACTTAAACTACATACAATTAATTCATAAAAATATATCGCTATAGCGCAACTAGCATATATTTGTAAACCACGAAATTCTGACATCAATATAGCAGCGTTTTCGGGGATTGAGTAAATCGGTACTGCCGTCAAATTATTATTAGATCCCATATTATTAATATTTTTCAAATGAAAAGAAAATTAAAAGGTTGGATAAAAAAAAAAAAAAAAAAATNAAAAAAAAAAAAAAAAAATGAAGTAAAAACTGATTATTATTTTATTTTATTTATTTTTATATTAATTTTTATAATTTTTTGTAAGGGAAAATCCAGCCCTTTTCTATTTCGTTTTGTTTTATAAAAAATAAAAATAATAAAATAAAATGACAGACTTTTCCAAAAAGTCTGTATCAGTTTAAGTAAAGACGCTTTTATCAAAAAAACGCTCTTTTCTAATTAATCGAATAAGAGGATATCAAATCCACTTGAATTGAACCTCCCACCCGAAATAAAAAAAAAATGAAAATGTTCCAACTGAAAAATGGAAACAGGCGCCCTCTATTTTATATCAAACAATTATAGTTTAATAATAGTATATAATGAACTTTTATAATACTCATTTGTATAATAGAGTGTCGATTATTAAAAAAAAAATTATATTGTTTTGAAACCCATTCTAGGTAACTGTAACTAATTTATGACTTAACCTTATAAATAAACCAAAAAAAAACAATATGATTTTTATCGTTGTTTTAATATTTGCATGTAACGTTGTTTCGGTTCCTTCTTTATTGCATTTTGCATATCAGTGTAGTATGGTTTCTTTCAGTTGCCGTAGTCTTTATTGAAAATCGGTTTGTTCATTCTAAAAATATATTTATTCTTTATAAAAGGGGATCGTAGCATCGTTAACGAATAATGATCGTACGTTATTGTAACACCACGTAATTTGACATACTACCCTGTTAGAAAGTCAAACACTAACATAATATGATGTAACCCAAGGAGAATACCAAGAAAAAATTAACCGATTCCATAGTTCCAAGCCATAAAACTTCCATATAAGGGGTTCATCTAAATTATGAAACGGTAAAATTCTGGGAAGGAACTTTCGAACAATATACCGTATGTATAAATATAGTTAAAACACCAGCGTTAACTATTGTTTGTAAACTTGATTTAGAATATGTTGCATGCGTTGCATGCATAAAACGCATAAAACGGAAAAAGCAGTAGGGATTTTCGGTAAGATCTTAATCTGAAATAGTTTTCTGACCAACATTCCCTTTTGTTTCATATATTTAGTTATTATTCTTTCAAATACGAAGATTTTATTGGAGTTATAAATTTATTTATTTTTTTTTTTAAGGTTTTATACAAGTAAAGAATTGTTAAACTAATCATGTGAAAACCTGCTTAATGAGGTATTTGGCATAAACAATTATTAATTACTAATATTTGGAATTATGTGTATTTGCCGCAATAATCTTTGATTTAATTTTAAGGAAATAAAAAACTATGTTTAATAAAATATATTTCATATAACTAATATAAGTAATTAATAATTATTTTTTTTTTTTTTTTTGAACACTGAATTAACGAGTAATGGTCACTTGATAAGAATGTTCTGACTAGAACTTAATTCTTTTTCCATCTAATCTGAAACCTTTATAGACTTTATTTAAGGATTGGGTTTCATTATGCAATTCGTTCTTAAATTCAGCCGTTGGGAATTAGTAATTGGACATTGCAAGCGAAAGCGAAAAAGAAAGCAGGATTTAAGTTATACAGTTTGATCTTGGTACATAATTATACAGATATTATACTGGATATTTTGATATAACGATAACAGATAAAATAACTGATTAACGATGCATATTTTCGAGATAACAATAGTCTTTTAAGATATACCATCATATTTGGAGGTCGACTGTATGATTAAGCAGATAGAGTCACGTAGTGTTACAGTAGAATTAAAAAGAAAAAAGATTCCAATTTACTTCTAAGGGTCACAATGTTTACATTACGTTCTAAAATATATAATTTCATTTACGAATCAACAATCTACATTTAGATTAAGTATTTATGTTTTTTGCTTTTTAACATTCAATTGGTTAAATATTTAGTTATCAAGCAGTTGGTTAAACAGGTTTTTAACTAATCAATATTAGGTTTATATATGTTAATAATTTGGGATCTATGATTTAGGATTTAAATTAACATTAAAGATTTTGATCTTAACAATTTAGTATTGATAAGTGGTAACTAATGTTAAAAAAACATCCGAGATTGAAATATTTAAAAAATTTAAAATTCGATTCTTGACCATAATAGTTATCACACAGCAATTTTAATTCACATTATCATACTTCACTTAATGTGTTTTTTTATATTTATAAGAACATTTTTGATTCAATCAATTCAATTAAATAAATATTATTAAGATCTATTTAAAAAAAAAATTCTGAATCCAGATAGAAACTAGATATTTTTAAATCTATCTGGATAACAGTTTATACTTACAGATGAAATCTTTTATTACAATAGTAATAATAAAGTTTGCATAGCTTGAACTGATAACCTCCTTAGTCCTTACCTTTATATACAGAATAATTTTTAAGGAACTTTAAATAAAATGATGGAATAATATATATATTCACTTATTTAAAGATAAACATATAATTGGGCAAACATGGCATAGTGCTTTTATCTTTATTAATTATATTAAAAATGTTATCAATTAATCAAATTACAATAAAAGAAACAATAAAAAATAAACTAACTAAAAATTAAGTTATATAGTCTCCCAAAAAGTGATAAAAGTAAAAATAAAAATCTAAATTAAAGATAATTATTACAAATATACTAACACTTTTTAGATCATCATATAATTGGTAATTTGGTATATACAGTAATATTTAATAGGTAATATATAACATTATTTATTTTACCATATCTTTTATTCTTTCCTTTTTGTTATCTATAATTATTTAGTTTTATTATGAAAGATTTCTTGTATAGTGCAAAACCTTTATACTCAACTACTTATATATAGTAACAATTGATTGATTATAAATTTCCAAAAAAAAATTTTTTTATATTAAAGTAAAAATTTAACTGATAATTTTTATAAATATGATCATTAGCTATAAAAATTATCTTATTTTTTTTTTTTTTTGAATAAATTTTAGTTAGTAATTTAAATATACTGATCAAATTTAGTTAAAATTAAAATTAGTTTAAATTTTTG